GTTGCTACTGATTTAAGCACGGTTAGTTTCTTATCCGCACTTAAACGATTCTTATCTCGCCGAGGCCCGATAAACTGTTTATATACGGACAATGGAACATGTTTCGTGGGTGCTCGCAAGTATCTTCGCGATTTATATAAGTTTCTTGATGAATATCGCCCGCATTTAGAATTAGAACTTTCAGAAAATCGCATTAGTATGAAATTCATTCCTCCCGCTGCTCCCCACTTCGGTGGAAGTTGGGAAAGCATCGTAAAAATAGTTAAAAATAATTTATTTAAGGTGATAGGATCACAAATTCTCTCTTATGAGGAACTTATAACAGTGCTTTCTCAGGTTGAGGCACTTATTAATTCGCGTCCACTCACAGCTAGAAGTAGTGACCCCGCTGAGCCGTCTGCTCTTACGCCGGCTCATTTTTTAAATACTGTCCCTCTTTCATCCATTCCTGCGCCAGAAGCTAACACGCACGATTTAAATCAACGCCATTCCCTTCTGGATAGCATTGTACAGTCTTTCTGGCGCCGGTGGCGAATGGAGTATCTGCATCAATTGCAGACACGCGCTAAATGGAATCTTCCATCAGTTCCCATTAAGGAGGGTACTGTTGTAATTTTAGTAATAGATAACGCACCGCCCTTTTCATGGCCATTAGCTGTCGTTGAAAAGGTACATCCTTCCAAAGACGGAACTACGCGAGTGGTCACTGTTAGGACTTCAAAGGGTAGCTACCTTCGCCCGGTAGTTCGTTTGTGCCCATTGCCGCATCAATAGTTATATATTTAATATAAGTAAAATTTAGATTTAGCTTAGTTATATATAACTTTCATTCATATATCGTATTCACATAACCTCAGATAACTTCCCGCTTATGATTAATCTTATACGCATTAATATACCGCTCATTTTATTTATATATATCTTCCGCATACTGCTATTCATTTCCCAGTGGTATATATATGTATATTTTTTTTAAAGGCAACCCTTTAAGGCCGGGGGAATGTTTGCGCCACAACTAGTTTAAATGCACATCTCGTGTAATAGACAAGGACAGACATACTCACGATCTAGGGCCGAAAGGAGCCGAGTACGCCCGCGCCATCGATGGAAAGAAAGATGGCGCTTCTTCTTCGTTTCCCGCTCGTGTCTGAGAAACGCCGCTCGCACATAATTACGTTTTATAATAATTGAATCACTACGATTTAATAAACTATTGAATTGTCAAGGTGTATATAGATAGTGTGCAATATTCAAGGTGTATATACACTAATTTCCGCCGCGCGTGTTGTGTGTGTGATCAGTTCATCGATCATCATCGTCGTCGATCATCGATTCCTGCACCAAGACGCCATAGCAGAAAGCCAGGTACGCTCGTAACTCCTTACTTTGCCCGTGATCTGTGACGGCAGTCTTATCGAAGGAATATATCTCTCGGGATACATATCCCTAGGGAACCGCTTTAACAGTACTGTTTCATTTTCTTACAATGATATCTCACCAGCGATATGTGCTAACCATGTTATGGGTTCCATAAATTAAAAAATTAACTGTTAACAAGCATAACAATGTGCACCGGTATTTAACAACTGATATCTTATACATGTCAAACTTCCGAAAGGAATTCTCAAAATGGTAGTGAAACTCATATAAAAAAATAACAATAGAAACAGAGGCATTGTACTGTTTAATTCTTAATTATTGATTCTCAAACATACACTGATCTCACTCGCCGTTCACTGCTTAATACTCGTATGACGCCAGCAGTGTGCGCTAGAGACGACATAATACTTTCTCTTTCCCACATACTATGTATGGAGTATCTATGTATATATGGAGGCACTAGTCGTGACTAACAGACTGGTCTATAAATGCACAGCTAAAAGCATACGAGCTGGAAATTGCGAATATGGCTTCCTTTTATTACGTTAACATCTACTAAGAAAGGATTTTGTGAAATTCCCACGAGAGCAGAACATAACGGGTTCGCGTGAGCTAAGATGCGGTAACAGCTGGTTTTGGTACATAATTACATGTACCCTACATAGCAACCTGAAAAATGTATCTCCCTTAGGATATTTAGATAATGTATCTTAACAATACGCTGATACAATTAGTATATCAGGGACTGATCTGATCTTATTAGGGATTTTTTTTGTATAAAAGGTATTTTGTAGCGTTTATCTTAGTGACACACTTTATCATGTGTAATAAGGAATTAAGATCATTTACTCACTTTAGTCAGTCGTTTACTCGTAACATAGTAACAAACAGACAAACAGATACTTTATTATTTATATTAATAGTATGAGTGAGAAATTAAGATATTATTTTTTTATTTTTTATGTTGTATTAGATAAGCATGTAAATATTCACGCATACAGATCTATTTGCTATGTGATCTATTAGATATCAGTAATTTCGCCTATAGGGTATAGCATTAATATCTGTAAGTGACATTCATACTACAGAAATTATTTAAATATGTAGCTCATACGTGTTTTCGTTCAGTATGAGTATCAGAACATTTAGTAACAAATAATTTTTATTGTGTTTGAATACTAAAAAAATATTTACATATAATAAAAAAAAAAACATTTTCATATAATGTTATGATAACCAATAATCCTTACTCCCTTACTAATGTTATGAATGCGAAAGTAACTCTAACTCTCTGTCTGACTGTCTGTTTCACTTTTACGCCAAAACTACGAAATCGATCTAAATGAAATTCTGTACACAGTGTAGACTGTGAAAGGATAAATGCTACTTTTTAATGCGACAAAAAAAGGATTGTACGGAATTGAAAGGGCAGACAAAAGGTTGTATGGAAGTATCGTAATTTTTAAGACAAGAAGCTTGAAACTTTAATATGACAATCAATGTTTATATATACAATACTCTTAAAATGAAATAGGGATGTAATTTTGTATGAAATATCGTCATTTTTGAAGCTAGAACGGTGAAACTTTTTTCTTTGGCTTTTTTGGGTTACATCATTAAATATTTTTTTCTTTAATTTGGTCAAATATTTAAATTTTCTTAATGAATTAGTTCTTTCGGTAACTTGTTGTAAAGTGTCATCCGCTTCATTGGAGATATCAGTACATGCATGCATGTAGGAATTGTATTAGATATACCTAATACGACGTTTGGTTACGGTTTGATATCAGTTAGTCGCAGTTTATATTTACACGGGATATCAGGCTGTTCCATATTTCGAAGTATTGGTGATATAGATATTGTTTTGTTATTCAGTATTATATTAAACATATTCGATACCTTCTAAAAGCAATATTACACTTACTTTACATTTACTATCACTATGTGAATATTTAATATATTAAATGGGTACCATTACCATTGATGGCGTCGGTGGTCAAGTTGTTTAGCTCGTTGCTTTACTTGCGATGGTGTCGGGTTCATTTTCTCGTACGTTACAAACATTTGTATTCATTATTATGTTTGTTTGTATAGGTCTGGGTGTTTCCTATGTATATTATGTATGTATTTATAATAATACTAGCTGACCCAGCAAACGTTTTGTCATATAAGTTGAAAAATAGTGGTTGATGATTATGGATGGATAAATGATGGTAATGGGTGAAAATTTAGGGTTATTGGGTTTAAGGATATATTTTTCTTGCCACATTATAACAAAATAAAAATAAATTTGCCCAAAAAAAAATTGTAGGCGTGGACAACACTTATAGAATAGAATAGAATAGAAAATCATTTATTCAAATAAACTTACATTGAAGCACTTTTGAATAGTCATTACATTTTTTAATCTACAGCTCGTTCGGAAAGCTGTCTCATCACAAGAAGAACGAGCAAGAAACTTGCGTGTTGCTCTTTTAAATAATTTTATTATTACTTTACATTTTTAAGTTTAAGTGTGTGAATACAAACCACCAATTAGCACTAATTCTATTAAATACTCATTACTTATCACTTAGGGGTATGAAAAATAAATAGTAGCCGATTCTCAGACCTACTAAATATACATATATTATATCATAGAAATCGGTCAAGCCGTTTCGTATGACTAGCATTGTGACACGAGAATATTGTATATAATATGTATCTAACTATTCATATTAGTTATCTAGTACCCATAACATAGATTCTGCTTACTGTAGGACTAGTTAGCGCTAAATTGAAAACTGACAAATTTACACTAGTTAGTGTAAATTGTTCAGGGATATTATTATTATTGTTTAACTTCTAGATACCACGAATCTCGTAAGAAGACGGAAAAGAACAAAAGTTGTTATAACTCTATAAATTATTTAGGAAAATCCCGTTTGTTAGCCCTTAATAAACTTTCAGGGACTTCGATGATAAATGATGATTGAATGCTTAACCAATTACCCAGTCAACTCTATTTTTTCCTTCCTTTAAAAATGTTTAGAACGAAATCGCCCCGAAATTGCTAGATTGGGGCAATTAATAACAAGTTTTGGTTACCTAACAATTATTTGAAACAAGATGTTTGATTATTTGGGTCATTGAGATATTCGACCTATCTAGTCCCAAGCTCTCTTAGCTTGGGACTAGATAGCCCGAATATCTAATAACATGTATTCTGGGAACTAGACAACTTATGTAAATACATAGACACATTTTTTTAAGTATAAAATCTTATAAATTCAAATGCTTGTACCGTGCGAAGTATCGAACCTGCAACCGTCGGAAGTAAGCCGGTGTGTCAATCCGCTAGAACACCGATGAATATGATTATACAAAATGTGTGATTATAAAAATAAGTACTTCAATTTTCAAAATCAATACACTGGTATCAGCTTGAAGATTCTGCCTTTAAGATTGATAAACGAGATCTAAGTTTCCTATAATTAATTAACACTAAGTCTGTGTGATAAGGTCCGTATTTGTTTAATTTTTTTTTTAATAGCAAGTTAAGGAACAAGGATACAAATTTTCAATTGCTATATAGAAGGCAGTTTGTTAATTGATAATTTGTTTGTTACAGATGCCACGGCTGCAACAATCATAGTGACATGAGGTGTCGGACCAACGAACGTGTTACAAAAATGATAACATGATGAAATATGCTTCGAAACGGACAGTTTCATAAAGCACGGACTAAAGGCTATCCGAGCATGTGTGATCATGGTACCAGAATAAGTGAGCATAAGAAGAGTAAATTCAAAAGTCCTGCCCAAATAGTGTGTTTCAATTTATATTGCATTCTAATTGTGATTTGTTTATCTATACGAACTGCTAATTCTAATACCACAAACATGAATCGTCATTTCAGTGATAAAAGTGTCAAAGGTAGTGCTAATAAACGTCAAAGTGATTCGCCACACGATGATAATTATGATGATCATGACGCTAACGCAAACGGGAATGTAGATTACACTAAAGTCAATTTTGAACACAATCCGTATTATAATAGTGAAAGTTTTTTACATTTGAATAATAAGTTTTACAACAGTGAAAACAACGCGTACAGCAATTATGAAGATTACAAGAAATATTATTTGAATCCTTCAAATCCTCTACCTAAGTCTAATGTTAAATTTAAAATAAGTAGTCGAATAGTTCAAACTAAATATGGAAAATTACAGGGCATAGTTTTGGCTATGGACGAACACAGATATTTAAGTCCCCTGGAAGTTTTCCTAGGAGTTCCTTATGCTACACCTCCGGTTGGATCGAACAGGTAAAATATTTAAAATTATTTTAAATAAATACATTATGCCAATTAACAGTTTTACAAATGATATAATTCAAATAGCGTTAAAATATAATATTCCAAATTGTTGCGGCATCTTTGATAGGACTACTTGCAAGATATAACTAGAACAGATAGAACAGTTGACTAGAGACGAATACAACGTGTATGAAGACAGACTATAGAAATTTGAAAAATTATATTTTATCATCACATAAGACATTGCTTTTATTCATTATCAACGACAACCTTATCGGTCGTTCAAATTATATGCACAATAATTTATTTAAAATATTTACTAGCGTAAGTGATTTTGGTAACGGTAAATTAGAGGATACGGAGGCATGACCTGGTATTGTCAGTCCAGTGGAATTGCAAACCAAATCAAACTCTATCGCGCCAAATGAGTGATGGCGCGATAGAGTATATGTTGATGTGATTCTGCGGTGCTGCTCATGTAAGGGATAGTTACCATTTACCATCAGATGGCCCGTACGCTTGTTTGCCATTCCATTTACATAAAAAAAATTACCTTACACTTTTTGCTATATTTTCTATTGCAGCTCCGCTTTTATTAGTCATAGCGTGATGTCATATAGCATTTAAGCTTCCTGGATAAATGGATTATCCAACAGTAAAATAATTTTCAAAATCGGATCAGTAGATCCAGAGATTACCCCCTACAACCTCACAATCAAGTCTTAGCATTCCATGGCTTTACCATGGGTAGATCCAACGTGTGTAAGGCAATCTCTGAACCGTTCCCGGGATTTGTACCCTACCCCAGGTATTTAAGGTTTAAGAAGCCCCTTTTGCCGATATACGTGAATACTTATTTTCACCGTTCGTATTTCTCTTCCTGCTCCTTTACCTCTTTAAAATTTTAGATTAGAAGAATAATGATACGTCATAAATTGAGATATCTGCTTCTGCACCAGATATATAACTTTTTATACATTTTAGGTTCAGTCCTACTAGGACACCCTCGCCATGGGACGGTGTGAGAGTATCAGACAGGCCAGGTCCAGCTTGTCCTCAAAAATTACCAGATCTCAACGACGAAAGGACCATATTAGAAAAAATGCCTAAAGGCAGACTAGAGTATATGAAAAGACTGATGCCTTACCTTAAGAATCAAAGTGAAGATTGTTTGTATTTAAACATATTCGCTCCTTTACAAAGTAAGTACTACCTTTTTTTGAGATCAACTTTCTCTAGGAAAACCAGTTTATTTAGCATTTAATTAGATGAGACCAATAAGTCATGAAAAATAAGTGAAATCCATTTTAATGGAAATAAGGGAACGGTCCACTCGCCTGCGCAGGCGGGGCACCAGTGGAGGATGATAAGATGAGAATAAGGTCAGTTGGCTCTTCGCATACTACAGGGTGAGCCAAGCTACAGAGGCACCGGTAATATATTGCAGTATATCCAGAGGCCTCAGACAGATCAAAGAGAAACAGTGATTAAGAATCTCACATATCCCACTCGCTCCCCTGAAGGCTGAATTCCCTGAAGCTGGAGGCTGAATCTATGAAGATTTCTCCTTAAAAAAAGAAAGTCACTTAGCCCATCGTGGTGTACCAGGAATCACCTAAAATGGCCTCCTGCTACCAATTAGACTACTAGTCTATTCCACGTGGTTTATCATCATCTCATTTTATAAATATCTGTTAAGTTAAATAACGTCGAAAAGGTATATAAAAATATACAGACTTACAGACATTCACATTTTTAATATTATAATGTAATTGATGCATATGTATATGCTACATCAATTATTAATAAACTAATTTCTTTCATGGCGCATTCTTATTTTAAATCTATGATGTTTCAACACAAACGATATTGAATTTACTTTAATTAATTAATTTAATTTATTACTTATTTATTAGGATTTAAATACTTTTGTCTTAAATTATATTAATTTCTTTAAAACTTCGATTACGACTCAAGTATTCATGAAAGACTAAAATATAAAGAAGTAAGTACATTTATAAAATCAACGTCAATAATGAAGAACTTAAGTGTGATATTAAATTTTCTCTCTAGAGTTCTAATTACGAGACATTCTTAGAAATTAATTAGAAAATGTTTTAAGATAATAAATGTATTTATGTAATAAACTAATATTTGATTAAAGTCACATAACACTATTAGAGAATTAATTTTTAGTAAAAATTCAATTCAATTTCCAATTGCGAAATGTTTTTATATATAGTTAGTTATTATATCGACAACCTTGGTCTAGCACTACAAAGCTAGCAATAACAGAATCCTTAATCAAACTTCTGCAGTTTCAGAGACTATCCTGGTCGAACATCATGATGCTAAATTTTTATACAGAATTAGTAGCAAAATGTTATTGACGGCCTCGATGATTTAGTGGTTTGGCACATCGCTTTACTTCCGATGATGGCGGGTTGGATTCCTAGCACGATGCAAACATTTGTATTAATGAATATCATTATTTGTATTATATTTGTAGTATGTCTGGGTATTTTTTATTTTATATATTTATTTACAAAAAAAATATCTGCGTAATTATTTCTGTCTATTGTCTAGTGCTTATTATTTAAAGTCTGCTAATCTTTGGATTAGATGGCACTGTGTTAATTGTCCAAAGTTATTATTATTAGCGAAGTCAAGAGCCACATGAAATTATACAATTTCCCATAGGCCACAGAGCAAGCAAAGAGGACTCTTTGCTTGCTCTGTGGCCTATGGTATTTGAAAGTATTCCTTATTAAAACCTTCATAAGAATTGAGCAGTCACGTTTTAAATTTAGTATGACAATTCTAAATTTGGTATTTCAATTTGCAATCTGTTTATTAACGAAAATGGTTGAAATTCACTTGCACATTACCTGGCGTTTGACGTGGAATTATCTCATCAGCGTTCCTATTATTAGTAATCATCGAAATCCCTTTAAAACTGAGAAAGCTATCGCATAACATAAAAAATACGTTGGAATCGAGAAGTTTCCTTTGAAATAAATTGAAAATATACATAAAGAGGGTACCGTGTAACTGGCAAAGGAATTTCTTCTCAACGTTTATATTAGTTAATTACGTTCGCTGGCGTTCCTCAAGATATAATGATAATAGGCCATTTAAATTAGCAAACCAATTATTAAACCATCATCTAGACATTTATTTAGTACAGAGCCTTCAAAGCTTAATCGAAATGATCCTACAAAGATCAAAAGGAATGTTGTCTATAGACAAGTTTTCTGAACTTCTAAAGATGAAGTCACAAAATTGTACAATTGATTATTGTCATGGGCTAGAAAGGACGAGAAAGATTGACTGTTTATCTGATCATAACCATTAACTACATATATATGCGTATGTTTTTGTTTGCCGTTCAATCTATACATCTATACATATAAATAAAATTGGAGTGTCAGTTTATAGTATTGAAATAACCGTTTTTACTACGTGCATATGAATATAAATACGGTACATACACCAAAATAACATTTTTTTACAATTTTTGTCTACCTGTCTGTTTGGTCTGGCTAATCTCTGAAGTGGCTGGAATTTGACGGGACTTTTATTGGAAGCTAGCTGATGTAATAAGGAGTAATTAAGGCTACTTTTATTTGCACTTGCAGAAAAATAAAATTAAATACCACGCGGGCGAAATCGTAGGTACAGCTAGTATACAAATAAAAATAACTATTAAATTTTGAATATGTTATCAACACTGTCAAAATTTTTATAAATGTTTTGATTATAATCAAAAATTATTAGGAACAAAAAATACTTCATTATATTGGAAACTAGCTACTCGCCCCGGCTTCGCCCGGGGTGTACATGAAATATACATATAAAACCGCTTCGAAAGTTATAAAGATTTAAGCATACATAGGGACGGATAGACAGCGACAGCGACTTTGTTTTTAGACTATGTAATTATTAATAATTACTCAGGTTTCATTCTGTCTATTAAGCTGTATATTTTTGGTATTTTTCAAATTTCCTATTAATTTTTTAATAAAAAATGTTTAAATAATAGAAGTTTCCAACAACTCGATTCGACAGGATTCCAGTGCTCATCCGATTCTATGCATCGCTGAAAGTTTCGACTTGAATCGAGTGCATTCCCATATACGAGGAGCTAAGAAATCCGAGTTCAATCCTCAGAGCGTCGCGACGACTCGTTGAAAGGCAAAATTTTGCAGCCTTTAATATTAAATCGCCGTTGCTTCGGTCTTCCATTTTATAATCGAATATATAATTAAAACGATCCTTATCAGCCTTAGAATCTGCAATAAATATTTAATTTCCCCAATTAACTCGCGCCGGATGTTTAAAATTTAAATGGGAATTTGAGTTGAAGAAAAATTTACTACGATGTAATTGTAAATTCTTGGCATTACGATGGAATTATCTAATGATTTGAAGTTTGGTGTTCATTTGTTTTTTGGTATGGAAGAGCTGTTTATATTATTAAATTATTATTATATAACTCATTCTTCATTTTATATATTTAAATTCATCACGAATGCTATTTCTTTTTTTCAAGTGGCTCCACTGAAAATCAGCGCTGTGACATGCTGACACGCTTTTGCGAATTATTAGTTTTTAAGTTTTCTTTTTTACTCTGTACTCTTTTTTATGCTGAATAAATGATTATTATTATTATTATTATTATATATATATACATATATTCTAACTCCCTTTTTACAGGGGTAATATATTCAAACACGCGGGCCTTAGCCAAGCATGGATGAGTTATGTGATGAAGAAAGAAATTTTCTTACTATTCGGCATGTGTTTAGTATAACGGCTTTTTGTAATAGGTCTATTGTAGAGGAGGGGATTTGCAACGTGTCTAGGTGTTTGTTCAGACTTTTTGGTATAATTCCTGTGGATGACAAAACTATTATTTTTTTTTTTTTCTCAGCTTCTGCTGGTTCTCTCCACACTTACGGGCCGAAACCAAATAAGTGTAGAGTGTGTGTATGTGTGTGTGCACGTGTATGTATATGTGAGTGTGTGTATTATTATTATTATTATTATTATTAAGTTGTTTTTAAATTAAACTTCTCATTAAGTGTTTATTGCAACAACCTTTAAATTTTTAAATTACATAGGCGTGGAGTATCACCCTTTTATTATCTTATATGTGTCGCGTGATGAGCGGTGCTTCTCACTGGTCGATTATGTGATGCCGTCATCGACGCAACGTTTGACGTCGACCAGTGGTGGTTGATGATGGCGCCTGTGGGTTTGAGCATTATACTGCTCACAGTAGATTTGCTACTACTGTTTTAACATTTGGAATAAATTCTATTTGATTTTTTTATATGTATAGAACCATATTTGCTGTCTAGACTATATGAAATTAGTATTAACTTAAGTTTTTTACACTATAATAAAAACCCAGGACAATTAACACAACGCCATCTAGTCTCAAGCTAAGCTAAGCTATGGTTACTAGACACCTAATATAATACTTAACTATCTTATATATAAAATTCTCGTGTCACAGTTTTCGTTCCCATACTCCTCCGAAAGGGCTTGACCGATTCTCATGAAATTTTGTGAGCGTATTGAGTAAGTCTGAGAATCGGCCAACATCTATATTTCAGCCCCCTAAATGTTAGGGGTAGTCCACCCTAAATTTTTTTTTTATTTTAAGGCAAAACAACGTTTGCCGGGACAACTAGTATTTTTTTATAAATACATATATAATATACATATAAAACGATCAAATCAATCAAACGTACTCATGAATACAAGTATTTGCAGCGTGCGGGAAATCGAAACTGCAACTATCGGAAGTAAAGCGGTGTGCTAAACTGCTAGACTACTGAGGCTTTCTTATTTACTTTACTTTCTATATTAACACAGTTGATACATAACGTAATAACAAGTAGTAAAAGGAGTAATGAATTAGTAGTAGTTATCAATGAGTATTATTTACGTCTTTAAGTTTTTATATTTTATAATAATAATATTTACTAAATATTTTGTAATTAAAACTAATCTAAAATTAAACTATATTTCTTCAAAGTTAATTAAAATGCTTAAAAATCAACTTTAAGCATAACACTTCAGAGTTTTTTTCTAGTTATGCAGTTTATAATATGCAGTTAAGTGTGCAATATGTTGAAAAAGTTAAGATGAAGCAAAACATTCTACAATCAACTTTAGGGCTTATAGTTTTAGAGTTATTTTTAGTTATGCAGTCTACTGTTAAGAATGCGACATCTTTGTACAATTTAAGATAAAGCACTCTGGTGAAAATATTATTTGGCATGTAGGTAGATGTCATGACGTAGGCATCCGCTAAGAAAGGATTTTGATTAATTCTACCCCCAAGGGGATAAAATATGGGATGAAAGTTTGTATGAAACTTTGTAAATTTTAAACCGATCGGGCTGAGACTTTGCATCCATAAAGCTACTATGACGTAGGCATCCTCTAAGAAAGGATTTTGATAAATTCCAACCCTAAGGGGACAAATTAACGAAAGCGAAACCGCGTGCAAAAGCTGGTTTAAGATAAAGTGCTCTAGTCGAAATACTATTATTCTTGCACTTTCTACAACTACTAATGAAGTTTTACCGTTTACAGTGGACGAAACAAAATTAGCCCTGCCAGTGTTGGTCTACGTTCATGGCGAGAGTTACTCGTGGAGCTCTGGGAATCCTTACGACGGCAGTGTGCTATCTAGCTATACTGATTTGATTGTAGTTACATTGAATTTCAGACTTGGAGTACTGGGTGAGTGACTAAAATTATTTATATATTTACTTATTTACAGACAGCCTCGGTGGTCTAGTGGTTTAGCACACCGCTTTACTGTCCGATGGTCGTGGGTTCGATTCCTCGCACGGTACAAACATTTTTATTCATGAGTATGTTTGTTTGTATCGGTCTGGGTGTTTTCTAAGTATAATATGTATTTATTTACAAAAATAAATGTATCCATGTATTTATATCAGTTGTCTAGTACCCATAACACAAGCTCTGCTTAGCTTGGGACTAGATGGCGCTGTGTGAATTGTCCTGAAATATTATTATTATTTACGTCCTACCAAGCGAGCTTCGCAGTTTCCCAATACAGTTAGAAAGATTGTATACATATACACACACTTATACACACTACTTACTAATTATCATCGACTGCTTCTTCCTTATCCCATTTATTTGTAGTCAGCGTAATATATTTTTTTCTTCCATTCATCCCTGTTCGCAGTCATTTCGTTATATACTCCCTTCCTAACCATACCATCTTTCATACAGTCCATCCATCTCTTTTTCGGCCTTCCTCTGCCCTTATAACCATCCATATGTAACACCTTCCTTAAAATCTTATCTTCATTCCTACGCATTACATGCCCTTACGACGATAGACGATTACTCTTCAACCTCTCCGACACCGGCGCCACTTTCATACTTCCTCTAATGTATTAATTCTTTATCTTGTCCATTCTTGTCACACTACACATCCACCTCAACATTCGCATTTCAGTTGCACGCAGTCATTTTCATTCGTCGCCTTTACGGGCCAGCACTCTGAACCTTACAAGACAGCAAGCCGGACCATGGTCTTGTAACACAGTAGTTACTAATATATACATACTAGTTACACAAGGAAAACGAAAAAAAACAATCATAATTTTACATACTATGTATATTAATAATCTACTGCCATCTTACGAAACTCCAGCAAATTACAAGTAAATATGTCTAGATCTGGAAATCAACTATCTTTAACTTTAACTTTATAGCAATACTTTATAAAAATTATATCTAATTTCGTGTCAGTAGCAAACTAAACATGATTTTTTATGGATGATAATGAATGCGGGTGGCATTTCATTAACCTTCGCTAATGGTTTACGCTGGCGGGGCACTAGTGGAGGATGACAAGTTGAGTATGAGGTCAGGACAGCTAGTCCATCGTGGCAAATTCATCAGGAATTTAACGTGATGGTTTCCAGGGGAAACCGCTGACCTTAACCTGACATTACTAATAATCCCCTTATCTCAACTTGCAATAAGACATATTTGGTCGCTTGTTTGTTTATCATTAAACATCTGTTAAATTACATTCAGTAGTTTTAGTGGTTAAGCTGATGACGATGTGTGAATGGGGGAAGGGATTGTTAGTAATGGGGAACAGTAACCCCCCCATTCCTAACAATTTACTATGTTAGGTCGACCTCTCGCGGTCCCCACTGGAAACCATCGTGGTAAATTCTCGGTGGATTCGTCATGATAGGCTAACTTGCCTAACTTCATGCTCATCCTATCATCCTTCACTGGTGCTCCGCCAGCGTATACCTTTAGCGCAGACTGGTGTATCATTCCATTATTATCCATTTAAAAAAAATCGCTATGTGAATTGTTCTGAGATATTATTATACACTTTACGTCCAATTTAGTATAAACACATTAAAACAGATTCATTTTCATCCCGTAATTGTGTTATTGAACAATTTTGTGTAAAATACGGAAAACATAGCACTTACGTCGTTTCCTCATCGAAGAGAGAATGGAGCGCCGAATATCACATCTTTAATATGCTCCTATACTAGGGTAGCCAAGCCCAAATTTAAAAACCAGGATTGAAAGTTCAAATATCCAGGACTATCCAGTTTAAAAACAGAACGCAGTAATAGTGTTGCAATAGTTATATTAATATATAGTAAAATTAAAGTAATTAATACAATCAGATTTTTAATAAAAAGTATTTGATAAAACTATACTGTTGACAATCAGTATTAATTACTGAGGCGCGAATATTTAAAAAACTCAGGACGCCGACAAATAACTATTCAGGACTTCCCAGGACACTTCAAAAACTAGGACATGTCCTGGGAAAATAGGACGGTTGGCAACTCTATCCTATACCACCCCTCCTAGCTTTAATGACACACGCGCGCCAAGAATTCATATACATGTAACATTTACCTTCAGTCGAGATTCTGATAGGCTTTTTAAACACTTCATTCTTCTTGAAATTGATCATTTTGTATTCGATAACGTTTCGTGAAATTGTTTCGGTGCTCGTCTTTTCATTTAAATTTCTATGTAATGAGAGATATCTGTATGAATATACCCCACTAGAAAGTAGATTTTTTTCGCACGACAAAAAAATATATTTAATAAAGTGTAATAAGTACAGTGATCAGGTGTGTTCAGCTTCGCTAGCGTAGAATAAGTCTATGTTACTCGTTGATAATATAACTTAGTATGAACTTAATGAATTTTATTCAGTTAAGCGTTTTTGAGGTTATTCATGACAAAAAAAATGTAGAAAAATATCTGAACGGTTTAAAAAGCCCCTCTCCGAGTCTGTGTATGTTTTATAATGTCGCCTATGAAGAAAAAGCCTATTCTAATCGTTGATAATATAACTTAGTATGGATTAAAGAATTTTTAATCAATCAAGCGTTTTTGAGTTTAATAATGAAAATAAAAATGTAGAAAAATATCGGAACGGTTTAAAAAGTCCCCCTCCGAGTTTGTATCCGTTATATAATATCGCCTGCATAGAATAAGTCTATTCTAATCGTTGATAATATAACTTAGTATGGATTAAAGAATTTTTAATCAATCAAGCGTTTTTGAGTTTAATAATGACAAAAAAAATGTAGAAATATATCTGAACGGTTTAAAAATGTCCCACTCTGTGTTTGTATCTGTTATATAATATCGCCTGCATAGAATAAGTCTATTCTAATCGTTGATAATATAACTTAGTATGGATTAAAGAATTTTTAATCAATCAAGCGTTTTTGAGTTTAATAATGAAAATAAAAATGTAGAAAAATATCGGAACGGTTTAAAAAGTCCCCCTCCGAGTTTGTATCCGTTATATAATATCGCCTGCATAGAATAAGTCTATTCTAATCGTTGATAATATAACTTAGTATGGATTAAAGAATTTTTAATCAATCAAGCGTTTTTGAGTTTAATAATGACAAAAAAAATGTAGGAAAATATCTGAACGGTTTAAAAATGTCCCACTCTGTGTTTGTATCTGTTATATAATATCGCTTGCATAGAATAAGTCTATTCTAATAGTTGATAATATAACTTAGTATGGATTAAAGAATTTTTAATCAATCAAGCGTTTTTGAGTTTAATAATGACAAAAAAAATGTAGAAAAAAATCCGAACGGTTTAAAAAGTCCCCCTCCGAGTTTGTATCTGTTATATAATATCGCCTATGCAGTAAAAGACTATTCTAATCGTTGATAATATAACTTAGTATGGATTAAAGAATGTTTAATCAATCAAGCGTTTTTGAGTTTAATAATGACAAAAAAAATGTAGAAAAATATCTGAACGGTTTAAAAAGTCCCCCTCCGAGTTTGTATCTGTTATATAATATCGCCTGCATAGAATAAGTCTATTCTAATAGTTGATAATATAACTTAGTATGGATTAAATAATTTTTAATCAATCAAGCGTTTTTGAGTTTAATAATGAAAATAAAAATGTAGAAAAATATCGGAACGGTTTAAAAAGTCCCCCTACGAGTTTGTGTCTGTTATATAATATCGCCTGCATAGAATAAGTCTATTCTAATCGTTGATAATATAACTTAGTATGGATTAAAGAATTTTTAATCAATCAAGCGTTTTTGAGTTTAATAACGACAATAAAAAATGTAGAAAAATATCTGAACGGTTTAAAAAGTCCCCCTCCGAGTCTGTGTATGTTTTATAATATCAACTGCGTAGTATAGGCATATTCTAATCATTGATAATATAACTTAGTATGGATTAAAGAATTTTTAATCAATCAAGCGTTTTTGAGTTTAATAATGACAAAAAAAAATGTAGAAAAATATCTGAACGGTTTAAAAAGTCCCCCTCCGAGTTTGTATCTGTTATATAATATCACCTGCATAGAATAAGTCTATTCTAATCGTTGATAATATAACTTAGTATGGATTAAAGAATTTTTAATCAATCAAGCGTTTTTAAGTTTAATAATGACAAAAAAAATGTAGAAAAATATCGGAACGGTTTAAAAAGTCCCCCTCCGAGTTTGTATCTGTTATATAATATCGCCTGCATAGAATAAGTCTATTCTAATCGTTGATAATATAACTTAGTATGGATTAAAGAATTTTTAATCAATCAAGCATTTTTGAGTTTGATAATGACAAAAAAAAATATAGATAAATATCTGAACAGTTTAAAAAAGTGCCCCTCTGTGTTTGTATCTGTTATATAATATCGCCTGCATAGAATAAGTCTATTCTAATCGTTGATAATATAACTTAGTATGGATTAAAGAATTTTTAATCAATCAAGCGTTTTTGAGTTTAATAATGACAAAAAAAATGTAGAAAAATATCTGAACGGTTTAAAAAGTCCCCCTCCGAGTTTGTATCCTTTATATAATATCGCCTGCATAGAATAAGTCTATTCTAATCGTTGATAATATAACTTAGTATGGATTAAAGAATTTTTAATCAATCAAGCGTTTTTGAGTTTAAAAATGACAAAAAAAATGTAGAAAAATATCTGAACGGTTTAAAAAAGTCCCCTTCTGTGTTTGTGTGTGTTTTTTTAATATGTATAGATTTATATTAAGCCCATACCGCAAATAAAAGATACAAAACTCTTTGAGTAAATAAGGGACGGCGAAACGTTCGGAGTTTACTAAAGGGCTCGCCTTTTTCGGTAGATTCTGTTTAATTTAAATTACGGAATTAAAAAGATGTCGAAACTCCAAATCGGATGTCTTTTTTTATTCCACGAAATACTTTGAATGTCAACGACATGGTCTCGAAACTTGGGTACGACTAAAATACAAAATAAAATCCGGTTTTATAGAAATTCACAAAGTGCGGCATGTTAAACGGGACCTACATCTGGTATCGTAAAAGTTTTAAAAACATTTCATTTAATGAACGCAGTTTATTTTTATTTAAATAACCGTCGTGGCCTTGTAGTTATACCAAAAGGTAGTGAGTTCGAATCTGGTCGATACCATAAAACTTTGGTTGGAAATTCACGTTTTAGACTTCCAGTGATGGTAACACGTACAATAAACAATTTCAATACAACGTCGCTTGAGACAAGAGCGTATAATTTTTTTGTTATATAATATATTATAAATTTTATCTTAATAATATAAAGTTTATTAGTTTTGATGTTTGTTACTCTTTCACGCAAAAGCTACTGAACGGATTTTGGTGAAACTTTCCAGTATATAATATATGTAGGTTATGCACCAGAATAACATGGGCTATATTTTTTATTGAAATTTAACGCGGGTGCACAGCTAGTCATTATCGTTATCATTAAATAGTATAAAATAAGGTCGGTGTCACTGTCTGTCCCTATGTATGTCAAATCTTTAAAACTACGCAACGGATTTTGAAGCGGTTTTTAATAGATAGAGTGATTCAAGAGGAAGGTTTATATGTATAATACATGTACACCCAGGCGAAGCCACTGGGCGAGCAACTAGTATATAATAAAATCCCTTTTTATCTTACATACAAATTAATAATTATATCTATATATAGATTACAAACAGAAAAAAAGTTAAAATTGTTTAAAAATACTACTACTTATATACATAATAAATACAATATATTTTCTGAGTCACTCTATTGTATAGGGAAGGATTACTGCGTATCCTAAAGCACAGAATTTCAGGGAGCAAATTTTTACCTTATGTTTTAAGGATATATACATATATATTACTAGCTGTTCCCGCGACTTCGTCCGCGTGGAATTTAACTTTATTTTCTAAAATAAAAATAGTCTAAGTTACTCCTAATTACATTAGCTACCTGCCAAAGAAGGTCCCTTCAAAATCGGTCCAGCCATTTCAGAGATTACCTGGAACAAACAGACCGACAGACAGAAAGACAAAAATTGTAAAGAATGTCATTTTAGTGTATGTACCGTATTTACATTCATATGCATGTAATAAAAACGGTTATTTCAATATTACAAACAGACACTCGAAATTTTATTTATATGCATAGATACCATAAATAAATAAAGAATATACACCAAAATGTGGGTATATCAAATGCATTCATAACTACATCGATTCTAATAGTGCCTAATAGTACCTAGACCCGTCAGGGACTACCTGACGGGTTTAGGTAGCGAACTTTGAAAAAGGGCGAGCACAATAGATCTATGTAGGTCGCAGTGCTACAGGTGCTACAATATCTGACAATAGCCCAAACAACCCAATAAAAAAAATAAAGAAAAATAGTGCCTCTGACTACCCCTTCTGGGTGTCGTAGTAACAGAAGAGAATAGAATTTTTTTTATTCAAATAAACTTAATTTAAGTACTTTTGAATAGCCATCACATTTTTTTTTTAATCTACCGCCCATTTGGAAAGCTGCGTCATCACAAGAAGAAGGAGCAAGAAACTTGCGTGTTGCTAAAGTATATTTTTTACAACATATTGTAAAAGAACTATGTAAATTTAGGTAAACATACAGAGGGATGTACTTTCTTCCATTTCTACGTTCAAATGGAATGCACTCCATGAATTAAAGTTGTCTCTTGGGAGAAACCCGCTCGATTCGTACTCGAAACACAAATGAGAAATAAATTGAAATTCAAATGCTTTGTGTATATTACAGCAGAGTGTACAGTGCTGTCTGTTTTTGTGAATAATAAATAAGATGTATTTAGAATTTATAACCATAGAAAGTAAATATAAATATTGATATTGTAATATATTGTAATTTTCTGTATCAACAGCCCTAAAATCAATAATAAAAATCAACAAACATTTTGTTCTTAATTCAAATATGTAATTTTCTGTATCAACAGCCCTAAAATCAATAATAAAAATCAACAAACATTTTGTTCTTAATTCAAATATGTATTTTGGCAGTTAATTGATATTGATTTTTGGCATCACGCTGACACTAAAATTTATTAAAACATCGCTAATTTGAAGAATTTAGTTAATTATCAACCATTTCGTTCTTAATTCAAATTTGTATACCGAAGACAATGGCTGTATGGGCTGAGTCTTTTTGCCTTTTCCTAAGGTAGGAAAACACGTACCAAAAAAAATATAACTGTCAAAATACAGACTTGAATAAAGAAATAAATGGTTGATGTACGAGTATGTACTCGTAGTTGAGGAATAATCCACTTAGCGAGTAATTACTGCGTTGTAATTACTCATACATACAAGACACGAACCAGATTATCTGACAATTATCTAAAAAAATGACTTTAATCCTGACACATTAAAGTCTATTTGATATAAAAATAGGAAATATTTTTTTGATATTGTATTATCATGAAAATATCCCCTAATTAAAACAAACAAAACTATAAAATCTTACCAAAAATTCTTCTAATGTATGGGATTAGAAGAATTTTTGGTAAGATTTTATAGTTGATTTCAAAATTCGAAGGTCATAAAAAAGCCGAAAATTCTTATACTATTTTATCACCAACCCCTATTTCTAATACCAATTTTATTTATAAGGCAATAATATATTTATAAGGCAATAATATAAAGGCAAAGTTTGCCGGCTCACCTAGTAGAATATAAAATTGTAATATTCTCTTCGCAGGTTTTTTAAATGCAAACCCGACACCTCATTTGAAGGCTCGTGTTGCCAATTATGGGCTGATGGATCAGATTGCAGCATTACACTGGGTACAGCAGAACATTGCGCTGTTTGGAGGCGATCCAACTAATATAACACTAATGGGACACGGATCTGGAGCCGCCTGTATTAACTTTCTTATGATATCACCTACCGTTATGCCTGGTAAGAAATTGCATTTACGACTTTTAAATTAATAATAATTAAACATCATTTAATAATAATAATAATAATAAAGACATTTATTCAGCATTACAGTATTCTTAGATGCTATCTATCTTATATACTATACAACTTAAAAGCTAAAAGCTAAAACATACTAGTAACGTTGAATGTGACTCCCACTCAGCATTTATACTGCAGTATATATATACCACAGTGCTGATTTTCAGTGGGGCCACCACACACGAGAGAGACGTAAAGATTACTAAAGAAAATAAAACGTTAAAATTAAGACCATTTTATAAATAGGTATGAAAATGTATGTAAAGATAAATGCAATTTTAATTAATGTATTTATCATTATCATTTATCATTGAATAGAATAGAATAAAAAATCTTTTATTAAAATAAACTTATTTTAAGCACATTTGAATAGTCACAAATATCCTTCTTTTAATATATCGCCCATTCGGAAAGCTACTACTCGTATGTGATGAGCACATCGTCGTAACTTTACATTTTGAAAAATGAAATGTGTTAGTACAAACTACCAGCTAGCACTAATTTATTAGGGTCAAATATTAAATATTAAATTACATCAGTCGTAGTTATTAGAGCAGACCAGTTGCACTCGTTCACGAATATCACGAATGAGTCAGCCATCACTGCGCTTGGCCATATTTTAGGGTAATTGAAAAATAAAAGAAATAAGATCATGATTAAAGCAAAAAAAAGTTTATTTATTTTGAAATAACTAGAAAATACATAGAAAAATCTACTTATCCACAATTTTTTAATGTATTAGATATTTATTCTACATATGTCATGCCTTCGTAAATACATACATATACTCAAACGATGATCGTTTACGATGTATGAGAATGTATTTGTGTGCAAAGTTATTTATATAATACATAAATAAAAATTCTTCTTCATGTATTTTAGTAAATTCAAATTCCAATTCAAAAATAATTTATTCATTAGGTAGGACATTTTAGCCGCTTATGAATGCAATTATATTTACATTATAATTTTTAACCAACCGTCTAGTTCAATATATAGATCCAATTGAAAAGAACTGGCAAGAAACTCAATTGAATTACTTTTACCTTTTTCTTAAAAAAGCCAGTTTATTTACAATCTATAGGTATATACATAGGTGTTTAACATTAAATGAATATTCCGTTTATATTTAATTCTAAATGTATGTATAGGATTTTTTAAAGTAAATTTATAAAATATGAAATTTTATTTAATATAGTTACAATAACTCGTGTCATTATTAATGAAAATGTATTGTTTCAGGTTTATTTCACAGAGCAATATTATTATCAGGTTCAGCTTTAAGTTCCTGGGCTATAGTAGACGATCCTGTATACTATTCTTTAAAATTGGCTAAACAAATGAACTGTAGTATACCGGAAGACCTTACGAAAGACCACGAGGTCATAGTGGACTGTCTTAGAGAGGTGTCTATAGAAGAATTGTTATCAGTAGACATATCACCTCCCAATTTTTTGACAGCATTCGGTCCTTCAGTAGACGGTGTTGTTATAAAGACAGATTTCGCAAAAGACTTTCTGACTTTGTACTCCACGGGTGATTTTCCTAGTTTCGGACCATTGAATAATATGAATGCTAACATGAATGTACATAAGAAGAGAAGTGATAGTGGTAGAAGATTGTTCCAGAATAAATATGATTTGTTGTTTGGAGTTGTGACCAGTGAAGCGCTATGGAAATTCTCAGCTCACGATGTCCAAAATGGAATAGAGCCTGATAGAAGAGATCGAATGTTAAGGTATTATTATTGATAATAAATTCATGTAAGTCTTACTAATATTATAAACGTAAAAGTTTGTAAGTATGTATGCATAGACCCTCTAGGATGAATATTTGTTACCCTTTCGCGCAGAAACTACTGAACGGATTTTGATGAAAATTTTCAGTAATATAGCTTATACAACTGAATGATATATATGCTATAATTTATAAATATAGTATGTTAATTGGGCCAATATATAATAATAATAATAATAATGTCAGGACAATTCACACAGCGCCATCTAGACCCAAGTTAAGCTAGCTAAAGCTTGTATTATGGGTACTAGACAACTGATACAAATACATAGATAATTTTTTTTCGTAAATACATATATATTATACATAGAAAATACCCAGACCGATACAAACAATCATACTCGTGAATACAAATGTTCGTGTCGTGCGAGGAATCGAATCCGCGACAACCGGATGTAAAGCGGTGTGCTAGACCGATAGACCACCGAGGTCGTCAAATATAAGGAACAATATTTTGTAAGTATGATGCAGGCGAAGTTGCGCATGTCAACTAGTAATAATTAATAATAAAAATTCACATAACATCATCTAGTCCCAAGCTAAGCAGAGCTTGTGGTGTGGGTACTAGACAACCGATATATATACTTAAATATTTTTTGTACATACATAATGTATAGAGAAAACACCCAAATCAATACAAACAATCATATTTATGAACACAAATGTTTGTATTGTGTGAGGAATCGAACCATTGGAAGTAAGGCAGTGTGCTAAACCGCTAAACCACAGAGGCGTCTTATATATAAGACGATAGAGATATATATAAATATATTATAATATATAATAGTAGTATTATCACAGTTTTTTGCTAATATTGCCCTACAGCGCTTTCTGTTTCTATCTAAAGGTTAGGTAGTGAAGAATGTCATATGAAATTAAGCTCGCCTTTTGTACACATTTTAGTGTAAAGAATAAAAAAAATATAGTTTATAAAATATTTTTATTTAATTATTACTGGATATATATTGCGTTTAAAATTAAATTCAAATTATACATATAGTAACTTTTGTTGAGTTTATTATTTAATTATGTAGAATTTAAAAAACAAAATTATGAATTCCAATTTAATTATATTACTAAGAATCAATTCAAAATTTATTTACATATACATACATACACATATATGTAAGATATATAGTCTGAGAGAATATCTCTATAAATTATAATTTACTAACAAAGTTTATAAGTTCTTTACTGTAAGAAAGTATCTATTTCATCTTATAAACTGTACTGTATAAGATGAAATCCGACATAAATAAACATATAGACAGACATATAGATATATACATTTCCTAAAAAAGTTGTCACTATGAGCAATAGTATTTATCTTATAAGTAACTCTGAGTAATAGTAATTTATATGTTACAGACAAATTGTACAACATATAAAAGAATATAATAACATGTAATTAAATAAAAAAATGTAGAAAAGTTTTTTTAATAATAGTAAGGCCAAGTTCATTTTATTAGGCCCGAGCATTTGCTGTTGTGAGAGTAAATATTTGAAATTGAGTTTCCTTAGAGGACTTGGCAGTAATTAAATTTCGTAACCTGAGGCTCTGTATGAGAGCTCCTAAAAAGTTTCACAATCATCTAATAATAATATATTTTTACGATTAATAAAAATTAGTAAAGTATGTACTGTGGACTTAAAAAGAGTATCATGGTTTAGTGACTTAGACTCGGATATTTTGAGTTCAATTCTGACCGAAATAAAAATTAATAAAATTTATTTGCAAACCGAAATTATCAGTTACTTTTATAGCTTCAAAAAAGTATTACAATCACTTGTTTATCATTATTATTATTTCATTTATTTCGGATATATATCCATATTATGTTAGTAAACAGCTTATAAACTCTGTTAGTAAATTACAATTTATGTTCTTTCCATTCATATATTTATATCTTTGTCCACGTCCAGAAGCCCTGGGTCCGCAGCAGTGCAGCGATATCAAGTGCCCCTGAAGTGGACAATCAGACATATTGGATATGGTGTTTAGGAGGCTGTTTGCGCTCCCCCGAATTCTATACACATCAGTGATGCAGTTCTATTTCGCATTATGACTTCAGAACCATCCGCGCTGCTGCAAACATCTCTGATGCGCTACAGAACCGAGGGAGCCCAAACAACATCCTAAACCCATTATATTGTACGCGAAGAACGTTGTATACCCTCTGCGTATATCTAACCCACAGGCTGCACTATAACGACTGACTATACGCTTAAATATAACTTAATAATAATATATTATTGTGATTATAAAAATTATTAAAAAATGTGCTGATAGGACTTCAAAATGTATTGTGGTTTAGTGATTTACTACAATCAGTTAGAGACATTTAGTTTTGAGTTCAATATTGACCAACAATAAAAAAAAAAATTTAAATGTTTTGTTTGTAAACTGAAGTTAACAGATATATTATTATAATAGTAAAAAATCAAGGACTGTAAGAGAACGTTATGACTTAATAATTTACTACACTTAGATTTAGAAGAACATATGTTCCGAATTGTCTAAAATAGCATTGGTGTATAAATATATATTTCTGACTTACTCTTTGGTTATAGAAGAAACAGCGATGACAAACAAAAATCAATGATTTATTGAATTACGTGGTATATACTCGACCTCTGTGAGTTTTTTTTGGGGAATATAATGAAATGCTGCACCCGACTGCGCTAACGGTTTACGCTGGCGGGGCACCAGTTGAGGATGATAAGATGATGTATGAGGTCAGGTGGCCCATCGTGACAAATTCACTAGGAATTCATCACGATGGTTTCCAGGAGGAATCGCATGGAGGTCGACCTAACATGGTACATTGCTAGCAATGAGGGTTACTAGTTCCCATTACTAACAAGCCCCTTCCCCCCAACCTCTGTGAGTTGTAGTGTGGTCGTCAAACACAACCCAAGGCCCAAATCTAGGAAGATAAGCTATATCTGAACACTATTAATTGCCTTATGATGCCTCGTTAGGTGAAACACGTATCAGAACAAGGATGAAAATCCAATGCGGTCGGAATTTGATCACTGTTAGGGAAGGTCATAACGCTTCGGTGCGGTGGTCAGGTTTCCGCACTGAATATTTTTGATCTCACACATGCTAATGGTACCGGAATTAAACAAAATAATATAAATACATTTATTAATAAAGTTAATAAACACCTGGCTGAATGTGGTTTAGTGTTGTATTTATCACAACGCGATCAACTGCCTATGACAATGCCTCTGTCTACCCTCCTCGGGATGACAATCTTGAAGATGTATATTATTATTATTAGATGGCCTTAGTGATCTAACTGTATAGGACACCGCTTTCGACACGGGTTCGATTCCTCGTACGGTACATACTTATATTCATGAGTATGATTGTAATTGCTTGTATCGGTCTCGGTGTTTTCTATGTATATTATCTATGAATTTACAAAAACAAATATATCTAAGTATGTATATTAGTTGTCTAGTACCCATAACACGAGCTCTGCTGACCGTGGGACTAGATGGCGTTGTGTTAATTGTCTAGGGTTATTATATATTATATATATACATATATCTATTCAAATAAGGATATTATATTTCAGGACGTACGTCAGGAATTCCTATACATACCATTTGAGTGAGATATTCTATACGATAGTGAACGAGTACACAGATTGGGAAAGAACGGTAGAGGTTTGTTTTAATTATAAACTAGAATAAGTTTGTAATACTCGTGAACTAGAGCTTGTGGGAACCGGTCTGTTCGGTATAGAGCCTCTCTCTTCCTATGTATCCCAGATGGTAGTGGGGTCAGCTTTCCTTGTTTTTCTCCGCCACTTTTCCCAGACATCGTCTTCAGAAACCTCGCACTCCACCATATCTCCAGTAATTACATCTTCCCATCCCTTCCTTGGTCTACCTGTTCGGTATAGAGTCACTGATTAAATTATTTCCTTTTAACAAAAATGTAATAGCTTATGCTGGTGGTCACTACATTCTCTCTAATTTAATTTAAAAATGATTCTGTATTTTTGTAATCATGTACCAGCTCATTTGAAAAGAATATGAGCTGAGTTTCTTGTTCTTATTAGCTCGAAAGATCTTCGAACTGACGATAGATTTGACATATCATTAGAGAGTATGAGACCTATATGAATAATGATATTTTATTCGATTTGATATCAGATTAAAGCCAATGATTAAATTATTTCCTTGACAAACATACATTAACATATGCTGTTAATCACTACATTTTCTCTAATTAAATTTTAAAACGGATTTGTATTTTTGTAATCATGTACAAGCTCATTTGAATAGAATATGAGCTGAGTTTCTTGTCAGTTCTTCTTAGCTCGAAAGATCTTCGAACTGACGGTAGATTTGACATATCATAAGAGAGTAAGAGACCTATATGAATAATGATATTCAATTTGATATCAAATTAAAGCCAATGATTAAATTATTTCCTTGACAAAAATTTATTAGCATATGCTGTTAATCACTACATTCTCTCTAAATAAATTTTAAAATGGATTTGTATTTTTGTAATCATTTACAAGCTCATTTGAATACAATATGAGCTGAGTTCTTGACAGTTTTTATTAGCTCGAAAGCACTCGTAACTGACGGTGGATTTGACATATCATAAGAGTAAGAGACCTATATGAATAAATTAAATATTCAAATATATTTGTTGTTTTTATGTAACTATATTTATCACTTAACATAAGAAGACTTATACTTATTATTAACTATTCAAAGACGTCTATGTGAGTGCTCTATTTCATCCATTTCAGTCAGCCGTAGTCTTTTTAATGATGTGTTTTGGTAAAATGGTGAGATAAGGGGGTAAATCATAAGTTACGGAGTATTTCATGTTAGTCCAGTTAAATATTTAGATCAACAAAGTGTTCAAAATTAACATAAAAAATCTTAAAATATTTATTGTATTTAATATTGGATTTAATTCTAAATTATTTACACAAGACTTATTTCAATTTAGCATTTATATATCTATTGTATAATAAGCTATTATGGGGCTTAATAGCATTAAAAACAAAGGGTTTGGATATTCTCTTTCAGTTAATATAATCCTCTGTAAGCGGGAAAAATATAAACATAAAAATTCTCCAAAATTTAATTTACGAAAATGTACATGTCATTTTGGAGATGATTCTAAAATAAACATTTGCCTAACAATATATATATTAATGAATTTGTTTTGTGGCAAGGAAAAGTGTGATATAAATCAAATTTGTGACCTCTGCTTATTCGAAAGCATTTATTGCAACAACAATTGTATTTTAAAATTACATACGGCTGTTGCAACTTTTTATATTGCAACACTAAAATAAAATTTATATTTTATGGAATATGGCAACATTTTCTCTTCTTCTCGCCGCTACATCGGAGATAATACAGTGCTGTGAACAAATTTTGGATTTTAATTAAAATATCACCATCTCATCAAGCCAGCTTCCTTCAAAGCACCCATAAAATTCCGCTGCTGCTCATGGTCCTTCGAGCCGGTCTAGTTATACTATAGACTACTCTCATCTGTTGGCCGCAGCTAGCCTTTACAGCTCTGAGGGCACCGCTAGAAGTTCGAACCTCGGCTCAGGCCATCATAATTTTGATCCCGAGGATCGATCGGAGGGACTGGTCGATGGTGTGATGTCGTCATCAACGAACGTTTGGCGTCAACCAGTGGATGATGCGGAGAGTGCCTGTCAAATTCTTTTAGCTTTGCCAACTGGTTAAGTAACTAAGTAAGAGCAAACCAGTCGTAGTGATTAGAGCGAACTAGTCCCAACAAGCAGCAATCGTTCACGAGTATGACGTATGAGGCAGCCATCACTGCGCTCGACCATATTTTAAGGAGCCCAATGATATAACAGTTGTAATGTATTTGCGCCTACAATATCTGTTTATGTATATTATATGCGACCAGAAACAGTAGGCTTTGTCTGTTATCTCAAGTTAGCATAATCCTTTCTTACAGAATCCGATAAACACAAGAGATGCGACCGTCGCCGCATTATCGGATGCTCAGTATGTAGCGCCGTTGGTACAAAGTGGGGACTTATTGAGCGGAGGGCCTAAGCCAGTATTCACTGACGAAGATGGACCGCGGAGACCTACTAAGACTTTCTTTTATGTATTCGATTACCAAACGAAAGATGGATTTTATCCTCAAGTAAGTTGTGGGTTGGTTTTGCATAATTTTTAGATTGTATAGGTACATAATTTCCACGATTTTATCCGCGTGGAATTTAACTTTATTTTTCTAAAATAAAAGTAGCCTAAGTTACTCCTTATTACATCAGCTACCTTCCAAAAATAGTCTCGTCAAAATCGGTCCACCCATTTCAGAGATTAGCCGGTACAAACTGACAGACAGACAAAAATTTTAAAACATGTTATTTTGGTGTATGTACCGTATTTATATTCATATGCATATAGTAAAAAACGGTTATTTCAATATTACAAACAGACACTACAATGTTATTTAGATATATACTCATGTTTGTATACATTAAATGAGTGTATATACTAAAGAACACATTTGAATATTTCATATATAAATATTATGAAATTCTGAATAAGGAAAATTTGTAGTATCTCAACTCAAAATCAATACTAATAGTATATACAAGTTATGTATATAGTTATATAGTTATTATTTTTTTCGGTTTTTGTACAAATTTGTGTACATAACTATACAGTACTAAATTAATATATAACATGTATGTCAACAAACTCTATGGTGTAACGGCTTATCATACCAATTTACTTCCGATTATATATTCATAATTTCCGAACCGATTTTGATGATTTTCTGTAAGTTAAAATTAGTTTTTTTATGAAAATAACATTTTTTATATTAGGCCCTTCTATTAGTTGTTTTGTCAAACTATTCTAATGCTGTTAGCCGCAGCTGGCCTTTGTAGCTTCTCCGAATGGTAGCGAGTGCAATTAGCACTCCAAACCCGCTGAAGGACTTATGGAGCGGCTGAAGGCCAACTTCTGCCTGACGGATGTAACTTTAGTCTGAGGCACACTAGGGGTTCGAATACTCGATCATAATTTTGATCCCCGTTGGAATTGTACGGAAATCGATCGGAGAGATTGGAATACTATATTTACACGGACAGTGCGGTTTCAAAGGAGCTTCCTCATGCGTTCTCTTAGATTGTGGAATGAACTACCTGCCGAGGTTTTCTCTATAAACTACAGCATGGATTTCAAGAAGGGAAGAATATTGAAGTTTCTTAAGAGACGGCAACACGCACGTAACACCCCTGGTGTTTCAGGCTTTCATAAGCTCCGGTAACCGTTTGCCATCAGATAGGCCGTATGCTTATTTACCACCTACGTGGTATAAAAAAAAAGTTTTTTTTTTATAACACAGGGGACAAACGAGCATGCGGCTCACCTGATGGTAAGTGATTACCGCCGCCCATGAGCACCCGCAACACCAGGGGAATTGCAAGTACGTTGTCGGCCTTTTAAAAAGGAATAAGCTCTTTTCTTGAAGGTTTCAATATCGTATCGGTTCGGAAATCGTGGAAGGTGATTCCACAATGTCGTTGTGCGAGTGCAAAAAGTTTCTAGAAAACGGCAGTGTGGACCCCGCCATTCATCCAGATGATCAGGATGGTATTTCAGTTTCTGGCGGGTAGCACGGTGGTGAAACTCAGCAGCTGGTATTAATCCGAACAATTCCTCAGAATACTTCCCGTGATTTAGAGACATTTTGGTAATTGGTTATTAATATTTCAGCGAATGGGTGCCTCTCATGGAGAAGAATTGCCATACGTATTCGGAGCACCCCTCGTGGATGGTTTCAGCCACTTTCCCCAGAACTACACGAAGTCTGAAGTAGCATTATCAGAGTCCATGATGCTGTTCGTCGCCAATTTTGCAAGAACCGGGTAAGTAAGTTAGTAGTTAGTAAATTATTATTACTAGTGGTCGCCCAGTGGTAAGAACCGGGTAAGTTAAGTAACTTGTTAGTAGTAAGTAAATTGTTATTACTAGTGGTCGGCCAGTGGTAAGAACCGGGTAAGTTAAGTAACTGGTTAGTAGTAAGTAAATTATTATTACTAATGATCGGCCAGTGGTAAGAACCGGGTAAGTTGAGTATCTTGTTAGTAGTAAGTAAATTATTATTATTAGTGGTCGGCCAGTGGTAAGAACCGGGTAAGTTAAGTAACTTGTTAGTAGTAAGTAAATTATTATTACTAGTGATCGGCCAGTAGTAAGAAGAATGAACACATTACACAATTATGTAAGAATGGTTAAACGAATGAGTTATTTTACCTAGTTTCAACTTAGTAGCTCTAAAGATATAATGAACACGAGGTCAGGTCAACTGATCTACAACAATGATCGTCGGGGAATTACCAGGAATTAACCTCTTAGATTTCCTAAAGGAACAGTTTGGAGGTCGACGTGCAGGATTCCTTGCTGCAATGAAGTTACTATTCCTGTTACTAATAATCACTCCCGGGGGCAGAGGATTGTTAGTAATGTGGACTAATGAACCCATTGCTGGTGACGTACCATGTTAGATTGACCTCCACACGGTTCCTTCTGGCAATCGGGCTGTATTTGTAGATTTGGTACATTGGACTAACTAATCTGACCTCATGTACATCTTATCATTCTCCACTGGTGCTCTGCCAGCGTAAACCGTTAGTACAGGCGGATGCAACATTCTATTATCTTCATTAAAAAAAAATCACTCTTCTAGGAGTTCATAATTATGCTTACATACAAAACCCTTGCACAGAATTGTAGTTTGCAGTTGAAATTAATAGAAAATCCTGCCCTTATTACTGAAGTTTATTCTCATAGTTGCTTTACGAGAATGAACTTTCAATGTGATTGGATACGATCCACTTTCAGTTGCTGTTATCTTGTTTGGGCTCCCATCGTTCGAGAGCCGATGAACAGGTAGCCGCAACAAGCAACTCTACGTGGTTGACTTTAAACTGGATTTTGTTTGAAAGTTCACCGTATTATTTTATAATAAAGTAGATTGTTCCGTTAAGGGCTTTTGCGCCATCTTGTTGTTAAACATTGAAATGGCTTCATAATATTTTTAAAATATGAAGTCTTTATAAAAACGGCGACGGTAACTTTGTAAACGGATGTTGTAAATAGAGGTCAATAGATCATAACTTGTAAATTGGAAGTACACCAAAAACATGTAAATATAGCAAATCAATTTAAAAATATAATGAAGATTTGGTTAAATTTATCTCGCCCATTCACTGTAAAGATATACATACATAGGTATAAAATACATGTATATAAAAAACTGAAACATATGTATATCACAAAAATCTGAGAATAATTACACTACATTTAACCCTATAGACAATATACTAATCTCAACTGTGCTTCTGCAGTGCAGTGTGTGTGGTTTTTTTTATTGATATAATGTTTAATACATTGTATATATATTACATATAATACATGTATTTATTTTTATAAATTAAGAAAATATTTGCATTCTGCACATTTTCTCTATATAAACTAAAATTGTTCAAAATATGAAATTTCCTCCAAAACTCCTCCATCCGCTCAATTTAAAAATACAAAGAGATACAAAGTGTTTCTTCACATAATCTATACATATAATAAAAAACTCCAAAAACCGAGTCAGTGATATTTTTTTCAAAATTTTAATATGTATATGACATAATTTTGAAATTCGAATTCATTCGCGTCTTTATCTAACAATTCTTATACAGCTGCGTTCCATTTCGCATAATATAAATCATTACACTGATTACGTAAGTTCAAGTATAAACTTATGTAAAATCGATACATTCCGCGCCTATCCATTAACATCGCTGTTGGAATTGAACTAGTTGCTAATAGAATACTGGCTAATAGAATGGAACTTTGAAACTACGCCCCCAGGTAATATCACAATTATGAGCAAGTGCTACTGGTGGCTGCGTACAGCTATAACAAGGTATATGCATCTTCAATTTCACCTTACAACTAGTCCACAGAACAATGTTACTTAATTTTAAAAACTATGATTATAAATCTTTACATAGTATAAAAAACAAAGTCGCCACCGCTATCTGTGCGCTAATATTTTTTAAATTACGCAACGGATTTTTATGCAGTTTATACCAATGGTTAGAGAGATTCAAGAGGATTGTTTATATGTATAATACATGGGTGTTATAGTATTTAACAAGCTGAGAAATTCAAAGATTTGTAACACATCTGTGCGTAACTGACGACCCAGTTAAAGTATAAAATATAAATAAGATTGGAAACTAAATATATTATGAAATTAATGTTTATTTTTATTATTTGAATTAATTATTTATTTTGTATTTTATTGTATAACTAATTCAATTTTATTAGTTTGTTTTATATGGAGTAAAATTGTTTTAGTTTTTAAATTTAAGATGTAATTTACTTATCGTTAAGATTTGTAAGTGCATTAAATTTATCGTAAGTAAATAAATATAATTGACGGAATTAAATATTATGCTTTTCGTTAAAACATTAAATATTAAAGTAATACTTCAGTCCACTGCTGGATATGTGTGGACTGTCGATGATGTTTATCATCATCAGCCCACTTCAGTCCACTGCTGGACATAGGCCTCTCCCAAGGCACACCACTGGGCACGATTTTCGGCCCGTCTCGTTTACTACTCGCAACTCTACGTATGTCGTCGCTCCACCTAGCTGCGGGGCGTCCTACACTACGTTTGCCAATTCGCGGTCTCCACTCTAGAATACGTCTAATATTCATAGATACTACTGGTTATTCTATTTTTATACTTCAAAATATCTCAGAAATAGTGTAAATACAAAACTGCGACTATAATTAGTCAACTAAATTGATTCTCAATATACTGTATACAGCCTTATTAGTTATTAATTAGTATGAAAACTATTGTTACAGAAATCCAAACGACAACACGCGGCAGGAAGTTCTATTACCGGCTTCAAGGGAAAGGAACAAATTTCGTGGAACAAACTGGGAAGAATATGATTCTACACATCAGAAATACTTGGAAATAGGTAATTTATATCATACCTCTTATTATTCTTATGCCTTAAGGTGTTAAGTCCCTTATGTACACCGTTATTGGTTTACTTGTGGATTAAAGTTGTTAGACCTACACTTTATACATATTTAAAATGGAAGAATTCTTTTTATACATTTGTTTTATATATCACTTCCGTCATTGCACTCTGTTGTATTAACTACAAAATCATATCTCTTTTTATCATTTATTATTACTAAAGTTTTAATTAATTAATTATTGTTGTAATTATTATTATTAAATTTATAATCCGTCATACTCGTAAATGGGTACTGCTTGTGGAGACTTGTCTGTTCGGGTTATGGCTACTGATTAGACTATTTCCTTGGATGAAAATGCAATCGCATATGCTGGTGATCACGATGCATCCGTGCTCATCCTAATTCATACGTGCATCCTAATTCATTAAAAAAATCTGTATTTCTCTAATAATTTACGAACTCCCTTGAAAAAAATAAAAGCTGAGTTTCTTGTCAGTTCTACTTAGCTCGAAAACTCTGCAAACTAACGGTAGATTTGACATATTACAACAGTCTGTAATACAGACCTACATGGATTAAGATATTTTGATTTGATTTGTTTTGATAATAACATATTTACATTATTATAGTGTACAAAAACACTATAATGATGAAGAATATAAATAAAAATACTAAAATAATATTCTAGTATGTTAATTATATCTAAAGAACTAAGCAAGTAGGCTTAAATTCTATAGAATACTAGTATATTCTATATAATTTAAGCCTACTTGTATGCAATTATTGTATTGAATGATCTTCAATTGTTGATTTTCATTTTATAAGCGTAATAATAATTACTGTTTTAGATTATTCTGTTATTCTAATTAATACATTATGTTATTCTCAGAAGGTTGTAATTATTCGTTTAATAAATGATGATATTAAAGTCATAATATTATTCAACCGAGTTAAGTAGTGGCTACTTCAATTCCAATTAGAATTAAAAACTTATTAGACGGCGTTTGGGTTAATTAGGTTTAATGATATTAAAACTCCGGTCTCGTAACATTTTATATTTGCTATTAAATTATAATAAAGTTTCATCGTTTATATAAATAAATCTTAAGTCTCTGACAAGGTTATAGCATGTTAATTTATTTAATTTGTTCAGGTATGAAACCTCGTCTGAAGAACCACTATCGTGCACACCAGCTCTCAGTTTGGCTGCGTCTAGTCCCAGAACTCCACAGAGCTGGAATGGAAGATGTTGCAGCACGGCATAATTTATTCAAAAATCACAACGAACAAGACCTATATGAGGGTATAGTTAGACCAGATCCACTAGCCAGAAACATTAATGACAACGATCAAATTAGACGGAATGGATCCGTTTATTCGGACACAGCTCTAACGACAGTGGATACAATTCTAGCTACATGCGCCACTATCCTACCAAATGGAAGAGACCTGCAAACATTAAACAATACTGATAATGCATTAGCTAACCTCGAAGCCGCCGGCTATGCGGCATATTCAACTGCATTAAGTGTTACGATAGCAATAGGCTGCTCGTTATTGATACTGAATGTTTTAATATTCGCTGGTGTATACTATCAAAGAGATAAAACAAGATCGAGGAGCAAACAGCAGAGGTTTAATGAGAAGCATTTCGAAACGATATCGGGAAAACATTCACATTATCATATGGATCCAACGCACGCTCCGAGTCTAGTAGTTGACGTCGAGAGACAGAATCGGAAAAAGCAAATGATGTCCGACCCTCATTTATCCGGTCTTAATTTCAAAGGGCCACTAGACATCTCGAAATCACCGCCGAGCCCGTCACTGAGTATAGACAATATGATATTGCCAAGCAAATTGGGCAGTAGAAACAGCAGTTTTAGGTTACCTAACGTGAGTTATCCGCAAGTGGGTGGGTACGCGACGATGCCGAAGAATTTGAACCAGTTTAATAACTCCCCGCCCTTACAAGAGTTAAGGCAACAGAAATTCCAGCCTCCGAACGGGTCGGCGGCGCAGGGCTCGCCGCGGGAGGCGGACGCGAGGGGGCCGCCCCACGCCACCCTCAGGAGGGGCAAGCCGGCTCACGGCCCCACTCTCCCTCAAGCGGCTATTGATGAAATGAGAGTGTGACAATTAATTCCATCTAACTTTACATTACACGATTAAAAAGTGTTTCTCGATAATTTCAAAGTGTTATTCGTATATATTTGGGATTGTGACTGTAAATAGATGTGTGATGACGGCGTTGAAATTTTTTTTAGAAAAATAAAAATGTTATCGATTTTCTCAATCACTGGAATATGATTATCGAATAAAAAATCAAATGTATCATAGTCCTTGTTTTATTTTGATTCGATGGTCTCGGTAGTCTAGCAGTTTAGCGCGTGTGTCTAACGTGTTACTTCAATAGTCGCGGGTTCGATTCCTCGCACGGTGCAAAAATTTCCATTCATGAGTATGATTGATCTGGGTGTTTTCAATGCATTTACAAAAAAAAATATGTATTTATATCAGTTGACTAGTATCCATAACACAATATCTGCTTAGCTTCGGACTATCTGATGTTGTGTGGTTTGTCAAAAAAAATATATAGTTTACACTTTAGTGCGCACAGAAAAATGTTTACAAAAAGAAAACTTTTAATAAATGTGCTAAGGAAAAAGCCTAAAAAAACCTAAACTGGAATATAATATATAGGTATACTATACAGATTTCATAAACATCTAAGCTTACAAAATTATCTGCAATACAAAAAAAAATTAAAGATTCTAAAAAGATTCTATAAAGGAATCTAAAAATAAATTTTCCTTTGTATAAATCATTTAATAATAAATTATTTATAGACCTATCTATTAGATGAACGATTTTACTTGAAACTGAAGGACATTAATGAACACTTTATTAGAATTATGAAGCCAAATTGATGAATTATTTAATAAAATTTATATATTAATCTGAATTGAATAATTAACGAGTAAATACTATCGGACATGTTGTGCCATATAAATTAATATCGGTATTAAAAATAGGGGTTGATGGTAGAAGGGTGAAAATTTAGGAGTGTTACTAATACTAATTCATGATAACAAAAGTTATATTTTGTAAAAAAATAACTTTTTATTACTAGTGGTATAAAAAAATAATAACCTATTCGCAGACCTACCGAATATACATATAAAATTTCATCAAAATCGGTGAAAATATTTTACAGTAGCGACTAATACTGTGTCTCGAGAATTATACAATCTATTATCTGATATAATATAATTTTAATTATATAAATAATTCTAATATAATAGATCAACAGGAGGTATAAAACTTTTCATACATCATTATCTAATTATATATGAAGTAAACAGATGCCCAAGAAATGATTAGGTAGATTACTTAGAAGTCCAATTGAGGGTTTCAAATAATTAACAAAATTAACATAAACCTAAATTAGATACGGATCGTAAGTGGTTATCTTTATGAAAACGACATTAATTTGGGGGGAAAATCGACATTCTGAAATTCCAAATTGTCTATGAAGTTTCACAGTGCATAAGGAAATTAAACAAGATTATTTTATAACGACATTTTGTAGGTTGAAAAACGGAAATAAACGACTCGACTCGAGGACCCGAGACAGATGTACCTGGCGTAGGACTAGGAGAGACGACCCTAAACGAAATGGGAAATGGGTAGGCAGAGAGAGAGCGAAAGATTTTGTAGGTTGTGTTCTTTTGACTAGACAGGTAATATCCGATCTCTGAATAAGGATATAATTTTAAAAATAGTACCTATTTTTTAGTCACATAATACATATACTGTTAAAAATATGTTTCGTCATTGTTAATACTGAAGCCTAGTTAACATAGTAATCACATACAGCTATAACGCGCTCGTCATCCTACTGCGGCTACGCGCTGTGCAATATTGTGCATCTGTGGCGCATTACGTTTGCGCGGGAAAATAAAATACTACAATATGGCTTTCTCTACTAGACATAGTAATTCTTTTGTGCTCCTAATTCTTAATTGTTTTATACAATTAATTATACCTTTAGATATATAATAAACTACATCTATACAACAAACCTGAATATAAATATATAGCCTAGTGACATACCTAACAGTAATTAAAAAAAATAAAAGAGTATATCGAAAGCAAATCAAAGTATGTATATAAATAGTAGATATATAAAATTAATAAAAAATGAGTTTCCAACCGAAACATGGTGCTCTAAAATGTTAAAAACAAAAAAGTATTCTCATAGTAAATTATTTGACTTCCTCGGTAGTTTGGTGGATTAACATACCGCCTTACCTTCCGATGGTCACGGGTTCGATTCCTCGCACGAATAAACATTTTGTATTAATGATTAGGATTGTTTGTATCGGTCTGGGTGTTTTTTTTTTATATCATAATTTGAGCGCGTTTGACCGCAATCTCACCTGATGTTAAGTGATGATGTGGTCTAAGCTGTTACACGCAAGCTCAAGTAATGCCTATTCACTCTTGACTTAAAAGACCCAATGTTGTAAGAGGCAGGAAAAATAGACGCTGGTAGAGAGTTCCACTCCTTAGCTGCTCGCATAAGGAAAGATGATGCAAAACGGTTAGTTCGAGCAGCTGGGATGTCAATAGTGTAGGGGTGGAGCCGCTCTCTACGTCTTGTTGTACGTTGATGGAACGGTGCTGGAGGAATGAGGTTGTGCATTGTATTTTCTATTGTTTATTTATTTATTCAGTTGTATAGTATCCATAAAACAACTTTGCTTAACTTGGAACTATTATAGATGACTCTGTGTGAATTGTCCTGAGACATTATTGTTATTTACGCTATTCTCGCATTCTCAGCTTTTGCTGGTTTTTTAACACGCTTACGGGCCGAAACCAATTAAGTGCAGTATGTGTGTATATGTGAGTGTGTTTGTGATTGTGAGTGTGTGTGTTCTTATTGATTATTATTATTATTAGTACCTACTGTACTTGTGCCATCTATACTATCAATTTTTTTTTTTTTAAATCATCATTCATTTGCAAATTTTAATTTTCTCTTTGGTTGTATATATATTCTCTATCTATTATATTGAATGAGCAACTAAATCAAATGAACCAACCATTTTGATCTTCGCTGCAACTTCAACTTGAATCTTTTCAATAAAGCCTCTCTCCCTTGCAGTTGGCTCACGAAGACTTTAACGTCTCAAGAGCTTGGTCTAATAGCGACGTCGCAGCCGACTATAAACAACCCCATAAAAGGTCTTTATAATGATGACCTGGTTCGCATACATAATATGAGAATTGTAGTGATGTACCAGTCACCTATCGATATTATAATTTTATTTAAATTTATTAATAATGACTACGAATGATTTAATCTTATTGTGTATTTAATATTTTCATCATCATCATCATCGCAGCCCGGAAGACGTCCACTGCTGGACATAGGCCTCCCCCAAAGATCTCCACGACGATCGGTCCTGCGCTGCTCGCATCCAATGCCTATATATTTTAACCCTAATAAATTTGTGGTAGTTTTATTCATTCATTTTTTACTTAAAAATGTAAAGTTACAAAGATTATTTAAAAGCGTAACACATGAGTTTCTTGCTCATTCTTCTTGTGATGAGGTAGATGTAGATTAAAACAACTATGCTTATCAAAAGTGCTTCAATTAAGTTTATTTGAATAATGGATTTTCTATTCTATTCTATTGTAATGATTATTTTTCTCTTTATTTACTTAGGAAGTTTTTTTTATCTTTTTTCTTTCCCCTACTTAGGAGGTTAAGATCACAATAAAGATCATGTTAGTTCCGTCTTAGTTTCAAAATTTATTAAATACTTACATTTTGTGAATTAGGATATCATGTATAAAATGACAGTAAGGTCAGATATGACGGCAGAAATCAGTGGAAGATGAGAATACACCGATCTCAGATAATAGGAAATAGAAATAATCTTTATTCAAATAAACTTATTATAAGCACTTTTGAATAGTCAAGTTTTTTTTATTCTACCGCCTATTCGGAATGCTGATTCATCACAAGAAGAATAAGCAAGAAACTTGTGTGTTGCTCTAGGATAAAGGCAACTCAATGATGAAAGTGAAAAAATTGCGAATTAAAAAATAATAAAGATTATCATGTCATTATAGATAAATAAAATATATTTATTTTGTGTTACAACAATTGTAATGTAAATTACAAAAAGCAAATAAGATTTATTTATTAGTATATTTCTTTGTAAAGATTAAAAAAAAATACTTGCCTACTGCACAAATCTTTTGCTTTCTAAGCATTTAAAATCAGAATGAAATAACTAAAACCACATTCTAAAGCGACACGTATTACTATAAAGTTAGATGTCGTTTTCAATTAAATTTTAACGTAGATTATCGCCATATCTAGCTCCCGCTTTGGAGGTACAATGTAGCAATGCAGGGAATGTTATGCAATCGATAACAAAGTTAGTTGTGTGAACTGAGACGCAGTTAGGACGGTGAGAGGTGAGAATTATTAATTTTGCTATTGATCGTATAACGTACAACGTAAGTGAATCGTGTGTAGCGTTTTATAATATATATTGTATTGTATTATATATTGTGGCCCTGGTTCCCACCGACTTGCTGCCCACCTTCATGAAAGAGGACTACTGGCCGAAAGGTGTGGTGTATCGGCGCTACCGTGGCAGATTGCCGTCTTCAGTGCCGTGATCACACAGACAATATTATTGTATTAGTTTTTAAATATTATATTATATGTATGTTAGTCTATAAGGTATTTATAATATGGGCCTAGTTGCCTGAAATAAATGAATAAATAAATAATACGGTCTAGCGGTTGAGAACACCGCTTTACATCCGATGGTCGCGGGTTTGATTCTTCGCACAGTACAAACATTAGTATGATTGAGATATGAGGAGCACCAGTGGAGGATGATAGGATGAGCATGAAATTAGGTCAGTTTGCCCAACGTGACGATTTACTAGGAATTAATCACAATGATTTCCAGGGGGACCGCGTGGAGGTCCACCTAACAAGGCAAATTGTTAGCAATGGCTACTGTTCCCCATTACTAACAATCCCTCCCCACCAGGTTTTTTTTATGTATTATAATGAAATGGTGTACCTTCGCTAATGGTTAACGCTGGCGGGACACCAGTGGAGGATGATAAGATCCGTATGAGGTCACGTCAGTTAGCCCATCGTGACAAATTCACCAGGAATTTATCACGATGGTTTCCAGGGGGAACCGCGTGGAGGTCAACCTGACATGGTACATTGCTAGTAATGGGGTCATGAG